ATCATCAGTTTTCGTGAAGATTTCTTTAATCTCAGCGGGATCATTCAGCATGATGGCACATCGTACTGCTTCGAGGTAGCGTTTATACTTCAAGTAAATATCTTTTGCAGTTCTGATGAGGTTAAAATTGTCTGGATCAGGCGTCAGTGGAGCACAACTAAACAGTTTGAATGAGGTTGGCACGCCAAACACGTTTCCTCAAAAGTAAAAGACACTGCTACGCTACAGTACCAGTGAAAACTAGTGACAAAGAACAGAAGCGATACCTGAGCAAGTATAGGCAGACCCTCTGATGATCAACATCTACCACGTATTCCATAAGAAGGTCTAGTCGTTCAATTTCAATCAACAAATCACATGCTTCCACCTGAAAAAAAACAAATCTCTTTGTCGCTGATGTGGACTCCGTCTCACGAAGACGGAGGGGCGTGACTACAGCTTCACTCGAACATGGCGTACTATGAGTTCCTTGTAAGACTGCCCCATTTGCAACACTTTCCACCCTGTCTTGTGATTGACAATTACAAGATTACAATCATCCCAAAACGAAAATATGCCATCAGAGGTGTAGCCCCTTCTACGTTTTAATGAAGTTATGAAGACACGCCCTCCCCATCCCCGGGATATGGATTGTAGTACCGGTGCGCGTTTCAACACTTCCAATGTTTGAAAGTGACTTGTTATTGACGTAAAAGTGAAGCATTATTGACGTCATATAACACGTCAATCGTGTATCTTGCGACGTCATTTACAGTAGTACAAACAGGTTTCCTCGTCATTAACGTGAGACATGATGTCAACAACACGTCATCTCTTAACAGGTGACAAAGGGGTGCTAAGCCATTGGCCCTTTTCTAAGAGAACAAATCTCAAACATCCTGACCTCAGCATTATGCTTCATATTGTGCATGACAATGTCCCGCGCTAGAACAAGTAGTTCATTCCGCCTAGAATTGAAAAATATTGAACTAGTCGCCACCAATGTCACCTTTGACTTATCCTTACCTAGCCTTGCTCTTTTCAGAACCATCGGATGCCTGCTTCCATTCTTCTGACATTTCCATAGCTAGGTGGCGAACGTATTCATGTCCCCAGTCGCCTATCGGTTCATGCATACCCTGAGAAATTAGATGCAAAAAAATGAAAAATATTTCCAGAATTAGGGCGTAGTTCGGCTCTGTGGAAGGGGAACTAAATGCTAAGCAAATTTGAACAGGCTGCCTAGTGAAGACTGTAAATTCCTATTTTGAAGAAGCTCGTTTGCATCATTTCGCAGCTTCACACGAGTGTACAGGTCTCACAGAAACCCGCTAGTCTTTATCTCGCAAAGGGAACCAGCGAATGTAAAAAAACCCTCCCAAGCCGAAGAACGCCTCGGAAATGTTGCTGCCAAAAAAGTAATCACCTTCATACGGAAATTGATGCAGTCACTCTTTTCATCCGAACACATTGCCAACACAGATATAATGTCAGCACATAAGTTCTGTAAACAATACGTCTAACGGAAGAGGTCAAGAATTCAAAAGCAATACCCTGCCAAAAAGCGCTGACCTTCGTCGGACCTGGTTGCATTTTCTCGAACACCTCCTTCATTTTAGCATAGTGAGGTCGCATGAATTTGAGAGGTTTCGGTACTGAAGTCATTGATGTGGTTGATGCCCGAATAAGAGTCCGCATTGTTTCCAGTGATGGTAGATACAAACTGACGTCATTCTCCTTAAACAGTTTAGCATTCACCAATAGTTTCGGAGATTTCTGACCTCACCAGCTCATGTAACTGTGTAAACTCCGATAACTCTCCAAAGTTCTTCCAAAAGGTCGCTAGCAATAGAGTTCAACGGAATCGATAAACTCATCCATGGTGAAGGAGGGTAACCCAACCGACACGAAGAGTGGCCGAGGAAACATAAGAACGGGGTTTTGCAACACAAGGCGCAGTCACTGTAGGACTACGAAGAGAAGAAGCTTTCCAAGCTCACAAGAACCGCGAAAAGTCGCCAGCTGAACAATTTCTCTGGCGGCTCGGAGGAATTTCCGCCTAGATCAGATACTACTCCCTTCTAAAACGATGGAGTTCCTCTCCAACGGCCTCCTACGGAACCCTGGAGGGATTCTCCCAACGATGCTGTATCCTGCGCCCTAGTGGTGTCAATATAGCAAGGAATGAAAGCTAATCTTAGGCCACGTTAAAAAGTAAAAACTTTCGTGAAATGGGAGAACGTCTTTTCTCATCTAATCTTTTGACGCGCCAACGTCCAATTCGCGCATTTTCCGAAGCACGGATCATGATGGTATGAAGGTAGAACAAGAGTACCGAAATTGGGAGTCGGACCTGAATCACTCTACCTCTCCCCTATCCAAACTCGTAAACTGAATAAGAATGAAATACACGTTACAGTCTTGATTACTGAAATCGAGACTTGTAACGCGAAGTCTTTCAATGTTAAAGGGAGGCCTCATAGGTTGCGACTCCTTCGACTTATTCCAAGCTTTTGGCGACTACGTCAGAAGATCAGATAAAGCTGATAACGTCGCAAATACTCCTTAGCAGTTTCAAGAGAAATGAATCCACTCGCGGCGTTTCCAACACTGGTTGTTTTCATCCTCAGTTGACCATTAACCGGCCACCTGTAGGAGAAAGCGGGAGACGGGCAAGAGAATCGTAAATTGCCGCTTTGTCGCGCGCGGCAATGGCGCGACGTTTCCTTAATTTGCACTACCCTTTCGATTGGAGCATCGGATTTCATGTAGACAAGGACATGGTAGACACTTATGTCTATTTTTGGTCATACATTGTCTATTCTCGACCAATACCACCTAAAATCGTCGTCATTAGCGGGCGCGACGTCGCACGCGACGCCCACTGGCGCGGCGAATTACGATTCTCTTGCCACATGTCCGGAGAAAGCAGCCGGAGTCGAGTTCATTCCACCCTTTCTAACACCGCCCCGACTGACTTCAACGTAAGCAAGTGTACGTATCGATGCTAAGCCGAAAACAGCGGATCGATATGCATGTTTCTCCTTCAGCGTTATGCCCGAGATCGCCAGAGTCGGTATGAATGCAGCCAACAACTACCCATTTCCTACAAGTCAGCCATCTCTGTACATTTATGCCTAAAGCAAGTGTTGCTACTCGTACTTACAGCCTCAGGGCTTGAAACCTTACTGTTCGCTAGAAATTAAACGCTAAGCCTTGGGGCGAGACTGGGCTGCGTCATGTTCTGACGACATAAAGCCAGTCATACTATCCAGGAGGGAGGGGCAGTGAGAGAGGGGACATGTCTTGACATCGGCAAAGTAAGAACGTTGTCTAATTGAGAGGTATGGGCGAACAGACATGACGTGGCTCAATGTGATGGTAATTCGTCTCTTCGAAGCGTACTGCGTCGAAAATCGCTTTTAGAAAGAATATGGTTACATCGGCAGAAGTACACAGCATGGAAGGTGACGTGCATGGTAAAGATTCAGGAGAAAAATCATAGAAAAGAAGCAAAAGAGACTCACACTTAAACGTTGAACTAGCATATTGAGGTCTTCTTCCAGCTTCTTATCCTCCTCTGTCTGAAATACCGTTTTCTTTAGACTGCTGTACAGAGGCAGGCAAAGTACCAACCATTTCATCTTTCTTCTCATCTTTGCCACCTTTCTTCTTGTCCTCTTTGTCCTTGGCCGGCTTCTCTTCCTTCTTTTTCTCCTTCTCTTGTGTTGTACCAACCATTCCCGTCACTGGAACATAAGTGAATAACTTTATTCCAACCGCAACAAAGAAAACATAGAACGATAGGACGAAATGATATAACCCCGGTAAACAGCCTCATTATCAACAGAAGCACACAAAAGAGCGCGTTTCCCCTAGCAATACATCCAAAAGAAACAATAGGGACCACAACACCTGTTAAAAACTAGATAACCTAAAACAAACCTAAACAAAATTTGAGCAACTTTCCACTTTTAAAAACAGTACTTTAACAATAGTAGTACATCCAATAAAAACATCTCTTCATTTCCTTCGGCCGAAAGGAGGGGGGGGGGGAGGAGGGTAACTAGACATGAAATACGACAGTGAACCCAAAAGATCGTGCACAGCAGCACTATGCCAAGGCACACTTGAGGTGCTGCTTCTTCCTGAGAACGCTTTTTCGTATTTCTAGTTCAGCAGTGTCAACCCTTCGTGGCTGCCTTTTCGCCAAATTGCATGGACCGCGCTCTTACTTTGCGATCGGGGAGATCCGGCGATTTGAGAGACCTGGCGATTTAAGAGTGCGCTACGAAGGAGTATAGGGTTTAATTTGGCGACTACAGAAATTGAGCGATCCGGCGGGGCTCGGCAACTCCGAAGACTGCGACCCGACTAGTGGATGGTGTCGACGCGGTCGCTAGCGATTTGCGAGAGATTCGGCGATTCGTTCGGGAGCGACTCCGCGATTTTGAGAGACTGAGCGATCTGCGCGTTTTGGGAGACCAAAAGCCAAACGTACGAGTCGAGGCGCTACGGCCGGACTCCGATCGATACCATCACTCTTTGGCGCCAATCGCCGGAAATAGCCAGATCGAACGGCTGGATGCTGCAGTCGCCCAATTGATCATATACTTCTTCACCTTCCGTCCGCGCAGTGTTGGAAGCAACAACAACCAAATCGCCGTACCACCGAACCCTTTCTCGCACAATAGTAAAATAACTTTTAGTACAATCCCTAAAGGAAACGTTTGAAGTCATCTCTTAACCTTTTCAGGCTTTCCCATTGACTTAACAAGGGAAACTGGTGTAAGAGCTGAGCTGTGTCGCCCTTTCTGGAGATGCATTGGAGTGAACGTGGCTTCCAGTCGCTCCCTAAGCTCCTGTGGGCAGTTCTTTAGCACGAAGGCATTTGTTCTTCGATTGAGCTTAGTCCATAATAAGTCTTCTATTCCTCCAAGACAGTAAACTTTAACTGTATCGGCATAGTTGTTGAAATAGAGACCAAAAGCATTCGAGACAGCACTGGGACGAGGGCAGACAGAATCGAGAAAAACGATGGGAGACGCTTCGGTCTTGGTAAGGTCCAAACAGGCTTGAAGGCCATAACCAGCATTAGATGTGACAACATTCAAGACACTTCGAGGCGAGGGTTCAAGTTGTTCTTCTCGATCTCCATTCTCCTCCAAATAGCTCAGTACATCCGAAATCAGTGACTTTTGTTCATCTGCCGAAACTCCTCGGCCCGAATCCCAGTCAATTTTGAGCGACGATTTCAAGTAGGGAAGTCCTCCTTTACGTTGCTTGCCCATCACTGGCAGATCCTAAGAGAATATCAAATTCAGAAACAGAAATACAGGCAGCCAAAACAATAGACGAGCGAGTATCCACTGTAAATAAGCATTGAGGCCTTCAGTGAAGCGGCACAAGTTCCCAGTAGAAAGTCAACAGAAGAGTTCTTACAAATTACCCCGGAAAATGTATGAATTACAAGGTAAGAAGCACATAATTAACAAAACACGTTCAAAACATGAAAGCTTTGCAAAAATCATCACATCCTGGCTCATCTAAAGGTCCCGCATGGATTTGGGAGCTGGGTACTGTAGCGATATGCATTGGAGCGCGTTGAATCTCGTCGGCGGCCTTGTCTGGTAAAGTCTAGTTTTGGTCTCCCACGGATGTCTTATCACTAGTTTTTGGGGTTGTTAGTAAATTGACGGTTTTCGTGCACACATAGGTGCGGTCGGGGGGCATTTATTAACTATGGACCCTTCCTGTCACTTTTTTTCATATTTCTTTTTTTCCCTCCTTCTCTCTTCTCTCTTCTTCATTCTCTTCCCTTCGGCAGCTTGGCTGAAAGATGCGATGAAAGATTACTTCTGGACCTTTGCAGTAAGGGACGCTTCGCAACGGACATGCATAAGGCTTCAATTCGGCGCGTATCCCAACTTACACAACAATACCAGTAAAAAGCTCTCCGGTATTGAATTTATGGCTCAAAGCTACATGGTTCAGTTGCTTCCTTTTAAGGAAGGCACGGCCGACTTCGCATACTTCCACAAGAAAAGGCTCAGACCTGTAATGCAGATGAACAGAGTCCCTTAAAAAAGACGTAGCCTCCTCAAGCCTGTGCCGTGTTTAGGAAAAGGGTGGGGAGGCGCTGGACGTTAAAACCGAAATTACCGTCAACACTTCATTTTCTGTCTTCTATACGACTTTGGCCTCACGTAACCTTAGCCTGCACTAGCCCATCTGTCGTTCTGGGAAGAGGTGCACGATTTCCTTTTGGGAACTGAAATATTCTCGACCTAAAAGATTTTCTGTGCTGGTGAGACTGAAGAGAAAGACACCCACCAAGAAAAACCCGAACCCATCGATTCTCTGTAGGGCACTGGCAGGGAGCTGCACCATCCCTTCAGGCTTTGGGGGCGGGGCAGAACTGAAAACGAATAATACTTGTTTAGTTGGCCAGTTACCATTTGTGCTTTGCCATATGAAGGCTTACTCTAATCCTATCTGTCATACCCTCAGTCCATGAACCACCGAAATATTCCGCCTAAAAGGGTTTAATCAACTCTCAATCTCTACCACACAAAACAGAGGTTTCAAAATTTCTCTAGTTTCGTCTGCTTTCATGAATTGAAACTACTAATTATGCAGTTTTATATTAATGTGGTTTGCTAATATGTTCAAACAACTCCATTGGAAAAACGGCTATTATGTTACGGTTGGCACAGTGTTTTCATAGCGCTACAAGTCTGCCCTTCTGCCGTTGTGTGACGTGGCTTTCATGGACGAGTTTTCGCACCCACCTGTCCTGTTGCCATGATCTTTGTATCGCGGCATTTCCTGCTCAGTTCTTACATAGATTCGTTCAGAAAAAGTTTTTGAATATTAATGGCTATTATGCCAGTAGCTTAACAGCAATCGTCTTTTAACTGTACTTGGAATAAAAAAAAATAGGATATGTGGTCCCATGCTAAGGTTCACGGGGTAAGTTGCAGCAAGCCCCAATATTTATGAATGCCTAGCGTGCTAGAGTAGCGAAGAGGACCTGGATTATATTCTACCGCTTTTAACCAAATCAACTAAAGCACGAGTCAACATCTCAAGTGTTCTTTATCCTTTTAACTCCAAACTAAATTTAATTGGTGAGGTCCCCGTTGAATCCGGTAAAAGATTAGGTTTTCATCAAGCCTCAGTATTTATGCTTACCGAACGTTTTGTGGTAAGGAGCAGGAGCTAAAGAACTCAGTGTCTTCGTGAAGAGGAAAACAAGCTGCTCAAGCTGTTCGAGTTCATGTTTTTTTATGCTAGAACACCTACATGCACTTTAAACTATCGTTCCTCATTAAATGTTATATCCATGATATTCTGTTGTAATTGAGCATATCTTCATGGGTAAGTAAATCCTGGGCTGTCATGTGATGCGAAACACAGTTTGAAATTGGAAAATAACTGGCTTAATTCAATGTTTGAGGGGCTTCGACATGCATTTGAGCTCATTCTCCTACTTAGACAGGGAGGCTGACTTTCCTCTCTCTTCCTCTAGTAAAGTGAAAGGCTCTATTAATGGTTCTCGTTCAGTACAGGAGCCACAGCCATTTTTAGAGCTTTTTAGTGATGTTTCAGACCCTTTCACTTTTCTTTTTAATAGCCAATAATGCCTCATGGGATGGCCCTAACTTTTATTGATGTCTAGCTGTTTCTGCTGCTACCTCCTCAAATCTATGTTGCCTGTACCTTCCCAAATTTCATTAACTTTCCGTATATTTCCTGAAATTCTTAGTATCGCTTTTTAATCGCATTTTTAAAAAGCTCTAAACTACACATCATTGGCTCTTGAAGTGACACCGTTGCTGACAGACTACCAGATCATCCAGTCCGTCCGATGCTTATGAACTTCCCAACATTATCTTTTTCAGGATGTGGGTACTTCCACTATTCCTTTTTGTGGGTCTGGCAGTTGCCGCTGATTGGAAGGTGGTCAATGTGGATAGAACTATTGACATCTCCTCACAGGTCAGTTTTTTTTTCTGTTAACTAAAGCTAAGCGTTTACCACTTCACACACAGTTATGCTGAAAAATTCATCAAGACTTAGTTTCTTGTTCATGCAAGGCTTATTTCGGCGCGATAACTTAGCGGCGGTTCTATGTACAGGTCTTCTCACGTCAAATCAATGTCTAAATTAAACAGTACCACCTACTTAGGCATGTCATACTTTTGTTACGATTTTTAGCATCTTAAGGCGCCAAAATGCATAGCATAGTATGATCTAGTATTCGAGAGAACTGGCCCAGCTAATCTCCAGCTTACTTCTTCTTGATAACCTCGTCATTTTAATGAGTGTCTTAAATTTTACTTCCTGTCCTACCGCAGCCCGTCCCTTAGGTGGAACTGTTTAATATAAAGCTACGCTCGACTAAATGATGTCTTGAAGATCATGTTCTCATACGTTCAAGCGATTAGGTCCGCTGCCCCACTAGAAGCGCTGTTACCCAGAAAAATAAATCTAAAAATACTTTTCCTACTAAACGCGCTGCTAGTTGATACCAGACCCTATCCGCTCAAACAGATGCGACATTGGCCTTGAAGACGACATTAAGTGGGCGAAAACGTTAGGCCTTCATTGACTGTTCCACCTAACAACCTCTCAAGGCACAAGAAAATGTAAACACAGAAGTGACAGTGTTCTGAGACCAAAAGGCAGCTAAGCGCTCAAAACTCTGGCGTTTCTCTCAAAACGCTGGATCGATGCCTATAATTTTCTTTTCATCCAAAACGCTCAGGCTGCGTTCATAGTTTGAGTCAGCGTACGCCAGCTGGCAGCGTTTCGCGCTTCGAGCGTACGCCAGCGCCAGAGACTAGGGAATCATCTGGTAGAATGAGTGGTGCTCTTTTCAAGGATGACCTTCTTGCAAATATTTGTACATCCGAAATTTTTTCTTTATGTTGTTTGCTAAGTCCCTCTTTTCCATCTTCATAACTACTTTGAATATAATAGTTGCTTTTAATCAGAAAATTGTGCAGTTATTTATAATTTTGAATTAATGTTATCCATGATTCCAGATTGTCAAAGTCTCATCGCAGCTGACGCTTTCAAACACTGGGTCTACGGAGGCCAACACTGTTGAAATACTGGTCCCCAAAGAGGAAAGCGATCATCTGGCTTACATCGCTGCTCAAGAGGGTACTAATAAGGGTAAACTGAAAGTGTCGAAACTGGCTGCAGAGAAGGAGGGTTTTAAGGTTAGTTAATATTTGCCTCCAACCGAGTATTCCTAGTATGTTTTTGTTGTTCCATATCGAATTTGTGATGATTACTTTTTAGGTTTACAAGGTCGAACTTCTGAACCGTATTGCAAAAGGCGCTGAGGTTAAGTTGAAGGTTGAGCAGCGATTCACCGAAATTCTTTCACCTTTACCAGAGAAGATCACTCAAAAGGAAAATCAGTAGGAGTTCTTGTTGCTTCTTCTGTTCATTTTTGTTTATTCATTTTTTGCCGTTGTTTTTTTAAAGTTAAATAGATACGTTAAACGAAGACTTTCCGAACGGAGACAAATAAGGGGTAGGCTAAATCAGACAGGCAAAGAGGAAAGAACGGGGCGAATATGAAGGTAGTCTGGGACGTGAACCATCGTTATATTACCTTTGGTCAGGACCTCATAGCTTCACGTATCTATATTTGATAGTCCCCGAGGGAAAGAGAAGGCATAATACTCGTTTCTGAGATGGTGGTGCTGATAAGGTTGTACTGCACAACTTTCCTTGCTTTGCAAGCACTCGCTGTTCTCGTGTTAAGGGCCGAACTTCGCAACCGTCGTATATAGTTTTTAGCATTTTCTGAACAGCCTGTGAGAGCGCGTTCATAGTTTGCGTCAGTGTTTGGCGTTGTTCACCCTTTTTAGCATGCGCGTGCCCCAGTGTCAGTTCCATACACTAGACAGACAGATATAATTTCCCAGAAAGCTGCACTACGCTAGCGTACGTTGGCTTTGGCGTATGTTCAAACGCTGAATCGATTGCCATGCTTTCCTCGTCACTTAAAAGGTGCCAAACGTCAAAACGCTGACGCGTAGTATGAACACACTGAAATAACGTGCCTGCTTCTTATATGGCTCCGGATGGAAAATGGCAATTTCGGGTCTCAAAGCGGATATTGTTCTTTCGTGAAACGTACCCTTAAACCCAACTTCCTTCAAACTGTCCTCGATTCGCCTAACTTCCTTCAAACTGTCCTCGATTGCCTTGAGCAGATTTTTGTAAATGTACCCTTAAACCCAACTTTCTTCAAACTGTCCTCGATTGCCTTTGAGCTAAATTTTTTTCCGTGTTAGAAAAATTTGTCGGTAATTTTAAAAACGAGAAGTGAAAAATGCATGAAGCGGCATCAAAACTTCTTCTCGTATTTTCCATCGACTATTTCGATAAGTAGTGCCTTCCTCAGCAAATTGGGCGTATTTCAGCTGTCACGGTATTGTCACGCTCAAGCTTACATCTGTGTGGTTGAGTATGATCCCTCGAAACCAGGCTCTGTAAGGCGAGCTACTGTTTAACAATGAAGCAAACTGAGCAGTTGAGGAATGTGTTGCGCACAGAAATAATTAGGGAATGTCACAAGAACGGTTGGTTTCTTCGGAGTCCTTAGAGCTCGTTCGGCAGTAGAATTTTCATCCCCTTCTCACGCCATACAACGCTTCCAAGAGGAGGCTCCGAGTCACCAAAATATGAAAATTTCTGGGAATTATTCGAAATTATTCAGGTTTGTCGTGTACAACGGCAATGCTCATTATGCAGCTGCCTATCCCGTTGCTCAGGAGAAAACAACTGTGAAGATTGGCAACGGAAAAACTCTGTCAGCTACGCAAGTTTCGCCGACCAATCAAGAAAATGAGAAAATTACCTACGGACCGTACAAGGATCAGCCTGCGTTCAATAGCGTTAGTTTCCTGTTAACAGGTTCGAGAGTTGGTTCCGGATAATTTGTCCGTGTTTCAGAAACCCATCAAAATCCACTACGAAAAC